AAATCTTGCAGCCCCCACATATGCTGGCCGCAGTTCTGGGCGATGCCCCTCATGGCTGGCATCCTCAAAAAATCAGTGAATGCAGATGGCCTGAATGAATGTTGACATGAACACTTGACAATTGCTTCACAAAACATTTCATTCATTCATTGGTTGCCAAGATACCTGCCAAGCTGGCCATGGATGAAGCCCCAAACCGCCGTCAAGTCCGCGGGCCAGTTGCCTGATAAGGACATGATCGCAGCCACCACCTCCACGCCCTGGTCCTCAGTGATCGCTCGTGAACTCATGGCGTAACATGGCATAACCCAAGCAAGAAGCGTGCAAGCAAAATTAAATCACAAAACTATTGTCGCCAAAAGACCATCAACCAGGCATACATGATCGCGGTGACCGTGGTGGCTCTGTGATACCCAGCCGAGCAGTTGATCAAGACCAAGATGGCAGGAGAGCTAAACAACCGCCACATAACGCGAGTTGTGTTGGGATTCCGGAGCACCTAAGATGCTAAAACATGATCAATGGTTCAAGACCCCGCAAAACATGTGAATCAATGGTTCAAGACACCGAACACGCACTCCAAGACTATCAAACAAAATGCAGCCAAGCATCGCTTTCCCACACCCTGGCCACCAAGCCGCAGTGCTTCAAGATGGATCGATCAATGGCGGCGCGGTCATGCTCCTCGCTCCTGGGCATGTGGAGCAGGAATAGCCATATAAGTATGTGTCAGTCAACAACCAGTCAACAACCAACAAATGACAAGAAAATGCACAAGCAAGTAAGTCAAGGTCAATTGAACATCAATAAGTGCAAGCAAGACACTCCAGCATCCAACACAAATTGTGGCACTGAACTGAAATGTGGTCCGCCACTTCAAAGATGATGTCTTGAGGACGGTCAACGACGCTGCCGTTTGGAAGGTGGGCCTGGGCCTTAGAAGACACGGTAAGAGCTGCAAGCCCGTGGCATGAAAACGCAACCTGATCAGAATGATGATACCATGGGCATGCGTCTGAAATCTTAATGTGAACCAAGCAGCTCTCGTCCTCATCCCTTTGATGGGCCAAGCGAGAATGGCGACCTTTCGTGGCCAGCGAGGCACGCTCCACGTATTTCCAGTGCAAGCACCCGCCATAGTTGTACACGCGGCCGCTCTCCAATTCACCAATCCTCAGATCCAGTTCCACTACACCACAACTCGTGCGCAACTATGACACAAGCAAACAAAGCAATGACACAAGCTTGCAGTTGCAATGCATGGGTTAGCAAAAGTTGTTCCAAGCTACGCCTGATCGGACAGAGCAGGATCCAGCTTCCACCTTGAAATGTTTGCAATGCGGAATCCATGGCAGTTGGCCAATGAATGATCTCAGTTGGCCACTCATGTGTCATCATGTGTCCACTTGCAGCAAAGGTACAGCAGAAACAAAGTCTGCTGGCCAGCGCGATCCAGCTGCAAGGCGATCTTCAAGTACTTCTCCGGCAGCTGTGCCACCGCTATGGAGTTGGAGGGCATGCAGGCAGAAAAATTGAATCTGATGACTTGAATCTGACTTGAAGCTGAGGGTTGAAAAGCTTGAAATTGAATCTTCTCATCGGCTGAAGACTGAATCTGATCTGACTGTGATTCGATCTGCAAATGACATTTTATCTGATCTGACTGTGAGTGCGGCAAGTTGAAGGTCAGTTTGAAGGCTAGTTACTAGTTGAGTGTGGTAACAAGTTGAGTGTGGCAACTGCTTGATGTGCTCCCTCTGAGGGTATGACGGCCGCCTTCATTTGATCCACAAAGGGCCATGGATCGGTGGTTGGCAAAAACCAGGAAACATTAAATGAATCAAACTCCTGTCATGACATCAAATTCAAGAAACAGTCACGATATAAAAAATACTCGGAAACCATGGATCAGAATCAGAATCGGTGAGTGAATCCACCCGCAGCCCAAAAGTTAAAACCTTAAAGGTATACACGCGCGATCAACAAATGACAGAACACGACGACACATCCTTGCCTTCCAGCACAGGTGCAGCAAGTCGAAGGTATGTTGAGGACCTGGCTCGGTTGACTTGTTTATTTGTTCATGTCCAATGTCAGTCATGACAGAATGGTGGACCGCCTTCTAGTGACACAGTGGCATGGGACGACATGGGAGTTGCACAGCAGATTTAGCAACGATGTGAGATAGAAAGACATGTGAGCATGTGAACGTTAAGAATGTGAAATTATTGAATGAGTGATTGAATGTGAATGTGAATGTGAATGTGAATGTGATTCAGAAACAGCGAAACTTCTCACAGGGCGCCCACTTCAATGGGTCAGGACTCTGCCTGAAAAGGCTAATTAGGGACTCATTTCAGTGGACCATTTCGGTGAGGATGAGTCAATCACCAGCGATTGACAATTACTGTGAATCCTTCAAAGATCTCAACCTCACGTGAGCAGCTATCATTCGCTGAGCTCCGTTCAAAAATTGATACTCACAATCGACTTTATCATTGTGAGTTCAACTGTGTGAACCATTCATCACTTGACCAAAGGACCACACACGGGCTTGATGGGACTTGAAATAGTCGTTCAAACAGTGGTTGCCTCTTGGTGAAGTGAAGTCCAGTGACAAAAAAACATCCTGCCGCCTACTCTGGGTCACAGTCAACAGCAAAGAACCTGCAAAGCGACCTTGTGTACTGCAGGATTTCCTCCAGACTGGTCCTGAACAACTCCAAGCGCAGTAGTACAGGTCTCCTCTGATTTGGGTCGTCAAGCACTTCCTCAAGGAGCCCGATAAACTCGTTGACATCCTGAGTCCAAAGATTATAATTCAGATGGTCAAACACGTCAAACACATGAATTGTCAATTCAAATCTCAAGTTCTTACTTATTGAACATTTTTAAATTGAAAACTTGCAGCCAAGACTCTCTCAAAGCAAAGAAAGTTTCAGCGTGCAAGCTTTGGATTTGGAGTTGAACATATACCTCAGGTGGCTCAAATGGAAACAGAGCCAACAATCCAGCTGCTGCACGGACGAGCAAGCCACGAGTGACAAGGAAACCCTCGAAACAGGATGTTCAACACGTTCTCAACAGTGGCGATCACAGTCTACTAAGTCATTGAAGGAGTCAATAGAACATGTGACTACTACTACACAGTGACAAAGGTGGAAATACTGCACCACTGTCATCTGGCAAGGAGCAATAGGTGGAGGTGGCGTTGCATATCCTGATCCCCATGCTCCTGATGCTCCCTGCGCTCCCTGTGCTACCGATCCCGACATTGCCCGCGAATATCAGCGAATGGTTCAATGATTCAATCAATGTATCTATGGAGTCTTTGTTTTTTGTTTGTGTTCCCTGTGTTGCCTTTGCCTGTACTCTTCTGTTTTGATGAATTATGTTACTCTTTGGCATCAACCATTCCTTCATGCTTAGCTATCAGTTGTTTCCTTGATGATCCACAATTATGTCCTCCTTCCGGCCAAAAGATAGGCAGAATAGTAAATTGACATTTTTACAACTGGCATGAGTTCGATAGCTAATCTTGAAACTGACTATGAACATGAAGTTGCAGCTGATACTGACTGATCTGACTGAATCTGACTGAGTGACAAATCATGCCAGGTGCACGTTGGAGAAACCCAGGTCGATGTAGAGGTCCACCAACCACCCAGCACCCCAGGTCCACCAGCCACCCACCACCCAGAACGCTCCCCAATGCCTCATGGTAAGTTATGATGATCGCGCAGAACGTTTGTTCATCGAATGGCCCATGATAAACTGAACAAGTCAACCAAAAGTTCAAAACCACCCAGAACGCACCCCAACCCCCGATGGTAGGTGGCTGCACGTTTGTTCATCGAACGGCCCATGACAAGTTCTTCTTCCTCCCCCTCTGCTTTAGCATCTAATATTCTGACAGCATTTTCTTCTTCTTCCTCCCCCTCTGCTTTAGCATCCAAATCAAAGGTGAATAAGAAAACTGAGAGCATCTTCATCTTCTTCCTCCCCCTCTTCTTTAGGATCAAACTCAAAACCATTAGCGTCATCTTCTTCCTCCCCCTCTTCTTCTGTCAAAATCAAAATCATTAGCGTCATCTTCTTCCTCCCCCTCTTCTTTAGTATCAAAAGCAAAATAATACGCGTCATCTTCTTCCTCCCCCTCTTCTT